CAAGTCACAGGGATCCTGGAGTAGGTAGAGCCAGAACGTAGTTCCTGAGAAAATTTCATGCTCCCAGGCAGGTCATCCTCATACAGGAATTAAAAGGGCACAGGAGAGTGAAAAGTGTCCTTGGGAACAAGAGCCGGCAAGCAAGTTTGTGACACCTTGCTTTTCATAGGCCCTGCTCCATGGAGTTTTGTAATTCTCCTGCCCCTGCAGCTGAAACTGCGATTCTCACCCCATGTAGGAGAGTTCTCCCAGAATGTGGTGGGGTTTTATCTTCATATGCTTAGCAACTACCTGGTAATTTGACACATAGTAGGTCTTTAGTAATACTGAATGTTACTAAATAGCTGTCTCCAGGGTAGGACACAGCTATTCCTACTTGGATGCAAAGAGAAGACATGAATTAGGTGGAAAACTGCTGGCAGCATGTTGAGAATGTAATTTACACCATTTCTTATCTTTAAAGGCTTTGTTCTAATACAGCATTTTAGGGGAACAGGGAATTGGAACAAAGCGGGGTTTGCAAAGAACACAGAATAGGCATCAAAGTAAGGATTCCAAGTATATAGCAGGGAAGTTCTTTAAAATGAGTTCTTGAAAATTAGCATTTTCTGAGACTTGAGTCTTATCCATGTAATGGAATGAATAGAACACATTTTGGGCTCTCAAATTTTATAGCAGTGAATGGTGGAACATATTACAAGGCATAGGCTTCTGTCAATGTTATTAAAAGGAATGAGTCGAAGTTAGGATATAGTAGTGGCATCTAAATCAGGAAAGTAACACCCAATAACAGATTACTCTCTGGAAATGGGAGAGCTAGTTACCATAGCATAATTTAAGACAAATGTATTTTTAAAAAAAATAGAGCAGTGAGCATAAGGAATTTTAAAAGTAAGTTCTTATTAATATCTTCCATTTGTTTCCTCTTGGGTGAGCTGTGAAATCAGGTTCACACTGAATGGAGAGCTCCTTGTACTTTCTGTGTGGAGCCCTTGGGATAAAGCAGAAACTTCTCTGAGCCCATTTTTTTTTCTCTGTAAAATGAGTCCACTAGTACCCACTTCACCATGTTGTAAAAATGAATACTTCTCAATGACCATTTATAAACTGGAAAGCCACACAAACATAAGTCTTACTCCTTTGTCTTACTGCTATTCTGATCTTCATTCCTTTTATTGTCTTTCAGTTCTGCCTCAAAATGGATTTTTGGGGACAGATTCATTTTACTGTGAGCACCATAGTACAGGGCAGGAATCTCCTGGCTTTGAAGTTGGATTGCTTGAGGCAACCGTTTTCGATGATAAAGTGGCATTGTTTCCTTCTTTCCCTCTGCAAACACTGACTGTGCACTGGGACTGAGCTGCGCTAGGACTTTAAGGGCAATGCCCTGGGTATCATGGGAGCTTGGGGAGGTGGTTCTAGAAGAGGAAATGTCTGAGCAGAGTTCTCCCAGGTGTCTGGGAGGCAGCCGGGGCAAGAAGGAGAGGTGCCAGGATGCCAAGTAGGGGCCCAGGAGGCATGGAACAGCCTAGCACTCCAGAGCCCCTGAGCAGCGTGGCATTTCCAGATTGTAAAGAGTAAAGGGAAGGTGAGAGGCAGCTGGAGTAGAAGCCCTGCAGGCCAGGCCATGGAGCTCAAACTTGAGAATTGACTGGAGTGGTTAAGCAACAGAGTAAAGGGGTTAGGTCAGAAAGTTAGGTACACCCTGGCCTCTTTTTCCCAGGAGCAAGAGAAGCAAGTGTCCATGTGACTTGCCAGAATAAGTTAATCATTCAGAAATAAAGACATCATTAAAAGATGTTAAGAAGACATGTTAAAAGATGTTAAGAAGACATGTTAAAAGACACTAACATGCCTTTTAACAGACTTGTGATTAAAAACAATTGAGAAGTTGTATTAAATGGGTTGATTGGTTGTGTCCAGTCTAAATGACCACGGTGAATTTCTTTATGTACACACATATACACAAACATATGCAGGAACACAGAGAAACATAATGTGAAATAGTAAAGACAGGTGGGTTGTGGAAGGAGAGACAGCAAGTATAGAACACTCCACTTTCGTCTGTGAAGAAGAAAGTCTCCAGCTGGGGAAAGGGAGTGGGTCAGGTAGAGAGTGACTACTTCATGGAAGAGAAGATTGAACAAGATTTTAGGCCCAGGGCAAGGAGCAGTGAGAGAGAGCTGGACACTGCAGGGAGCAGCAGGGCCCCACGGATCCCCATTCAGTAAGTCAGCTGGGGCCTGACATCCTGCTAATCTAACAAGATCGCAGGTGACTTAGAGTTTGAGATGGGCAGATCTAGAGCCCTGTCCCAGGACCAGCAGCCTGGGCTCAAAGTGCACTGATCAACAGGGGGCTCAGTGGACACGCAGAGGCTCGGGCCCTTCCCAGACCCATGGAATCAGATCTGCAGCCTCACCAGACTTCCAAGAGTTTCTTCTGCTCGTTCAAGTTTGAGAAGTTCTGCTCCAGGTAATATGAGGCCAGACTGTCTCCTGATGAGAGGGAGAACAAAATGAGTTTCTGGGAGAATTTAAAGAGAAACCTGATGTAGGATATGTAAAGGGCTTGGCAAGTGGCTACTTCCAAAAGCCCGGAAGAGGTCTCAGGCAATCTATAGTGATGCCCACATACTCCGGATATGACTGTCCTGAGGGAAGTTTCTCTGGCTTAGTGGTTTTATTTGCACAAAAGACTTTCACTTACTATATAATATGCAGTGCTTTGAGTGTTTTCATATAAAAAATATATTACTTTTTCTTCTTTGTTTTAGCTGATTCAATCTTAAAACATTTTCTGAATTTTTGTGATGGATTCTCAATTATTCAGGGTTCCCTAGAGAAACAGAACTAGAGAGAGAGAGAGAGAGAGAGAGAGAGAGAGAGAGAGAGAGAGAGATTTAAGAAATTGGCTCACACAGTTGTGTAGCCTGACAAGTCTAAAAGCTGCAGAGTGGGTCACAGGCTGAAGGCCCAGGGCAGAGCTGATGTTGAAGCTCAAGTCCAAAGGCTAACTGTGCAGAATTTACTTTTGCTCAGGGGATGGTCAGTCTTTTGTTCTATTCAGGCCTTCAGCTGATGGGAGAGGCCTACTTACATTGTGGAGGGCAGTCTGCTTCGCTCACTGATTTAAATGTTAATATCGTCCAAAAGAACCCTTGTAGAAACATCCAGAATGTTTGACTACCATGGCCCAGTCAAGTGGACCCCCAAATTAACCATCTCAGACTCAGGTCTTCCTGAGGTCATCTAGTTCTTACCTTACACTAAGAAATGTTATGGTGAAGTAGTCCAAGAATGACTACTATCTTTTTATTTAAAATCCAGAAAAAACATTCTATCATATTCTCTATTTTATTGGAACAGTCCAATTTAATGTGGAAAATTCTAAACTCTGATTCTAACTGTCCACTCACTAAACTTGCATTTTATCCAAATAGAGCCATAACAGCAAGTATAAACTGTTGATTCTATCAAAACCTTGTCGGTCCTGTATAAATGCCACTTCTCTCCTGGGCCATCCTCTTCTCTTGGATTCTTGTATTTCTCTCATTTCTGAACTCTTAAGAAGTAAGCTGGCCAGGCCAACCATTGGGTAATTACCAGTGCCCTATACTGTGAGTTCTTACAAGTTTATTCAAGTGGTGAACATCAAGTGTGAACACTAATTTAACTCAGATATACTAGCATTTATCCATCCAAGTGAATACAGTCATCTTCAAAAGTAGTAGTAATTTACTCTAATGACACTGCCATTGCTTGAAGCATTTTAAAAATTCCTTAGAAACTCCCTTTAGGAATGCATGCACGTTCCTTTTGAATTTCTTAAGTAGGGACCTAACTTTACTCTTTGACAGAATATTGAGTATTTGAAACAATAAAAAGACATTTGAGTTGATAATTAAGGTAGGCAATCACATTGGACAATACTATCCTTTAGCCAAAAATCAAAATTTCCCATGAGGTAATGACAAAAAAACTCTCTCACTCTATAGATAATGTTCAGACTTGCATTCATAAATCGGTCCTTACAGATTTGTTTTAAAACAAGTTTTACAGTTACACATCATTAACTTTATCTCCAAATCTGGATCATAAGCATTGTGGATGTTTTCCTTTTGGAACTCCTCACAGCACTGATCGTTCTTGTTGGCCTGTACACCCGACCTGTCTTCTCTTACAAGGCTGGAAGCTCCTGGAAAGCTCAGGCCCTGCTTTGGGTACCTTCCTCTGCCAGCACCCCTCTCAGTAAACCTCACATAGTGGTTACTCAATCATGTTTTGAGTGAATGAATGAATGAGTAAATTAATTAATTGAGTGGATGAATTGCTTAGGACAGTTGTCCTATACATTTCTACTTAAAATATCTAAATTTGACCATTTACACCCAAGATTGAGGCTGCTTTCACCCAGGAAGGTCCAGTTTTAAAGATTGTCCAATATCACTTCTCTGTAACATTTGCTAATAAAATGCATTAGTATGGTGTGCATTTCATTACAGTCAATAAATTTTTGCTAAGTGAATATTGAATGATTGAATGCATTTGGTTCATAGTTGACTAGTCTTTTTATGACAAGAAGAAACTTCCAGACCTTTAGTTCATTCTTGGAGTGCTTACTGATGGGTTTTCTTAACTCAGATACTCTAAAAAAAATATTCTTTGTCAATTTTTGTGAATCAAGAGAGTTTCTATTTCCTTTGGAAAGCATTTAACATTTGATATCCACCCAAGGTTGATTTGTCCTGGTATAAAACTTATTTTATTGTTAATACTCCTCATTTGGCACTGAGTTGAATAGCAACTGTTTATCCTCTTCTATTACTGAGAAGCATTCTCTCTTCTGAAAAATCATATCAAATTGTTTCTTTTCTCCAAATACCGCATAGTCCAGCTCTTCAACAGGCTCTGGAAAGTGTCTGTGGACCACAATTCTCCTGGTAATTTAGTAAGATAGCAGGCAAATACACAAAGCACAATGGAAAGATCACACATTACTTGGGTTACAAATTTAATCAATTTTGTGTTGAACAGTAAGAAAAGTTTAATTGCACAAAGGTACATAACATTTCAAATATAAAAGACAATTGGTAGTGCTATCAAAATACAGTAAAAATTTGTAAATGTTATATAAAAATTATACTCAGAACCCAGAAGTCTTCTTCATTATAAGTATATGGAGTGATTCATTCATGCAGGTTTTATATATAATTTTTTTTTCTTTTTGAAGAATTCCATTATAGCTCTGAGGTGATAAAATGCATTGATGTAACAATGTATTGTGGTAACGTTGTATAGCTTTTTTCTATTTTGCTTTTAGTGTTAGGGTTGCTAAAAGCTTAATTAATTAACCAACTGGTATGGGGGCATAAATGGTGATAGCAGACTTGACTTGGGGTGGTAAACAATACAATATACAGGTGATGTATTGTAGAATTGTACCCCTGAAACCTATATAATTTTATTAACCAATATCACCCCAATAAATCCAATAAGAAACTTAAAAAATACCCAATTGACATAATGCGCTTTCAGTCAAGAGGGCACTGCCGAGATCGCAACCCTCCTCCTGTCACCGTGTGCACATCCCCTGGCCTCCTTCTACGCAGCCCACTTTGTTACGAGGGAGGCCAAGGGAGCTCAAATTTTAGGCAGTGGGTGGCGGGGCTGCCATCCTACCAAGCTGGCCAACCCCCCAGCAAACCCCACCTGGAATGGTTCTGCTAAAGGCAGAATGAGGAACACATGTGCCTTCCAATGAAAGTTGTCACAGGCTTTTTGCCAGCCAGGTTTGCAAGCGAATAGCACAGCTCACCCCAAGCTGGCCTGAGTTTGGGTTCAAACAAGGGTATCTCAAGCAGAGGGCGAAACCCTGATTTATGAAGCATCATGGTAAACACCCAAGTCAGACTGGTCCCACGGAAGCTGCCAGAGAAACTCCCAGGGTGCCAAGGTCACAGATGAAGCACTCAGAACCCTGCTAGTCCCTCTGCCTCTTCAGAGAAGTGTTCAAAGGAGGGGCTGCCCCAGCCATGTGGCCAGGGCCCTCCCATCCTGAAGTCAGCGGCATGGCGCCTGCTGGGGAGGCACCCACAGACCAGGAAAAGCAGTGCTCCAAGGAGCAGAAGGTGGACCAGTGGGTGGAAGGCCTGCCCCCCAGCTCCGCCCACCTCCCAACTCCCCTCAGCCATCAAGTCAGCCTGGAGTGCAGGAGGAACTAGATAGAACAGGTCCAGTCCAATCAGAGAAACTGGTTAGGTGCCTCTTCAGATTCCAGAACCCTTGGAAATGGTAATTCTGCCAAAAGGGGCTCCATCAAAGATGATCTTGGTGACAGACTGCAGTTAAAAACTTCATCTATTGAACCTGAAAAATGAAAATTGGGCATTTTTACCATCACTGGAAAACAGAAGGAATCCCACAGTGCCTTTAAAACTCATAAAAGACAACGAACCATTTCAATACTAAAGAGAGAACCCTGGCCTCCTCAGAAATTCTCAAAAACTCAATAGAAATGGGTAGTATTTTGTTTAGCAAAAGGACGTGGGGTATCATTTGCTTTTACAGGATGGGGTAGATTTGCAGTAAGTTTCACAAACCCTTTCTCACTAATGACAAAAGGCCCACAGTTGGGACAGCCCAGGACAAAGGTCGGGTTTTGAGAATGAGGAGGAGCTGAGCTAACAGATCACCCCAGGCAGAGCCGTGGAGGTCAGGCTGGGCACACCTGCCAGGGCCACCGGGCATCTTGGCTGTGCCCTCTGCCAAGCATAATGACTCTGGTCAGCCTTGAAGAAAGCTTCCCCATTGCTCTGGAGTGGAAGTGGCCCCAGGGCTGGCTCAGAGTTAATTTTAAGGAAGCACAGCCCAACTTCACACGTCCCTGGTATCTCTGGGATGGCAGCAGACACTGCACAGCCACAGGACAGAGGATGAGTGATGCTGAAACAGCAAAACCCTGCCCAAGCTGCTATGGTCAGTGGGTGAGGCTGGAGGAATGTCACAAAAAAGACCAGGCATCCAGGACTGCCACAACCAGACGAGCTCATCTTCCCCACAAAGGGGGGGAGTGTATAACACGCCCCCCAAAATGGCTGCAAAGGAGCAGAGTGCAGAGGAATCTTTGTAAGGAGCATCCAGACAGAGAAAGCTAAAGAGACGTAGGATGAGGGGGGAGAGGGTAAGAAAGGAGAGAAAGCAGAGGAGGAAGAGGGGAGACATATAGGGAGGAGGGAGAAAAGAGAAGGAAAGGGAGGGGATGCGGAGAAAGAGAGAGGGAGAGACAGTGATAAGAGGGGCTGCTGCTTCCAAGGTAAGAAATAGCCAGAGTAAACGTTTTTGCTATAAACATTGGAAGAAAGCAACTGTCATTAAATACAATTAATTGAAGACTGTATTTTACATTTGAACTCTTTGAAAACTGTCAGTTCACAGAGACTGGTGTTTTCTGTTGTTTGTTTGTTTGTTTGTTGGAATTGGAGCAAAAATCCTGATTCGAGGAAGCTGCTTTCCAGCCAGGTGGCCCGGGACAGGGAGAACCGGCTCAGAGAGGGTGTGATGGGCAGGTGCCGCGGGCTCTGCCCCACCAGTCTCACGAGGCTCCCAGAAGGCACCAATGTAACATTTAGTTTGTTCTGTGGGACATTCTCAAGAGTTATTTTGTGGTCTTACAAACTCTGGAGAACCCTGCCTGTTTTTGCTGACATAAAACTGATAGCAATCAACCATGTATGCACCTCCTTCAGCTGACACTTCTGTTCACATTCTGTTGCCCAGAATATGCACATCAGGGAAGCATAATTCTTTCATCATATTTAAATAAATGTTAATAAAATTCAAATAAGCATTAATAGATACTTAATAATATATTTTAAAATTATTTTCTGGGTATGCTGCACAATGTTGGTAGCTTCTACATCAGAAAACTTTAAGGAGCCCAAAAGGAAATGTCATTATATTTCTTTTTGGTAGTCTCACTTCTTACTTTCTGAATAATGTAGTATATTATATTCCCCCATTATCAAAAGGCCTTATCTTTTCCATTCACTGGCTTTCCTCATTATACTATTCTATGCTTTTATTTATTTAACTATGAGAATTTTTAACACACCTCTGGAAGTTACACTGAATTTTCGGTCAGAGAAACTGCTTCTTCGGATCAGTGGTTCACTCATTTTTTCCAGAAATAGTTTAATTGTCTCCTTCTTTTCTGGACTTGAACTTGACAAATTCAGAACTTTTCCATTCACTTGTACAGTAGAATTGCTGAGCCCAAGCCAATAGAAGAAATCAAATAATGCGTCAGCTTTGAACTCGTAGGCAAAGCTCAAATTTTCTCCATTAACCACCTCATTTCCCAAAGGGAAAAAATTCTTCACTGCCTCTTGAAAATCAAACTGAAAGAGAAACATGTGATGAATTTCATGCATATAAGGATAATGGTACATCCTAGAATTCTGTGTCACCACAGAATCATATTACAGAAATAACAACTGCCCAAATGTCCAAAATGTCACACCCCTTATTTCTCTTTCATTCAGACAGATATTTTTAAACAGTTGCCTTAACTTTTTCAAAACAGACCTATGCATTTGCATCATATTACATCTACAGACCTTGGAGTGCTCGGTCAAGGTGACATTCATTATTATCCCATTTCTAATAAGTTGCTGGAAACTCCGCCCATTTTATTGGCAGCAATGATGAAGCAACAGCAAACATCTGTGTCTGGATACAACTAAGTTAGAGCTAAGCTCTCAGGACTCAGCCCTACATAAAATGCTTGAAACCTTCCGTGTTTGGTCGCCGCCCTGGATTCAGACAGGCCAACACTTACTTGCAGCCGGTAGCTTTCTCCAATCACTGAGGAAATGACCATGTCCATCCCTTGCTCTATCTGTCTTCTGATCTTGGGGTGCCTCGTGTTCACAAGGAAGCCGTATGTTCTTTCTACAAATTTGGAAGCAGAATTCAAAGAGAAGTGTGCATGTGTGACAAAGTACTGATTCCCACCTTACTTGCAGATTTCATTCATTTTTAGCCTCCCTCACTGCAAAGCCTCACTAGATTTCTAGAAACATTTCTGAGATTTTTGCATATGTGAAGGAAGCAGGCTACATTTTGTTGCTCTTGCCTGGGAAACTGGAAGTTGGAAGTCCTGTTTCATCAGAGGTGAGAACTGAGCCTCTAGCTGTGTATGCAGCGTAGGGAACTAAGTGAGAAACACAGGTCAGCCAGTTTTTATGCCTCGGCCTTGCTGTCACCAACATGTCTTCCTCTGCAAAGCAAAACTTTAGCCAAGTCCAGGGCAGGAAGGTGCTCCGTGCCTCCCCTCCCCCAACACCTCCTCCCCAGGGACTGGCTTTCATCACATCAAAGGGCTGGCCTGGAGTGCTAAGGGTCAAGGCGATTTGAGATGCACTCTCCTCCATGCCCCAACAATTCCCAGTGGGAGGAAAAAGTCCCTCTGGTTGCTGCAATTATACCATGTCTGTGTCCTGGCACAGTTGCGTTTTTGTCATTTGTCTTAGTTTGTTTTTTGGTAAACTCTTAAATCCAATTCTGTCCAATTCTATACAGTCTAAACAAAAGGAAGGTTGCTTACTCATTAGGAAATCTGAAATACTATTAACCAACAACCCCTTAACTTTTCAGCTCCCAGAAATCCCTTAATTTCTCAAGTGCTTCTTCTAGAGAGACATATAACACATCGGACTGGCCAAAAAGTCTGTTTAGTTTTTTTCTGTAAAAGACACATTTTTCATGTTCACCAATAAATTTATTGATTTGGATATTCTGAGTATGTCAGCTATCTCCCGTGTGGTATAACATTGATTATTCTCAATTAATGTTTTAGTTTGGTCGCTATCAACTTCAGCTGGTCTACCCGACTGTGGAGCATCATCCAGCGAGAAATTTCTGGCACAAAACTTTACAAACCACTTCTGACACATTTTATTTGTCACAGCACCTTCTCCATACACTGTGCAGATCTTTTCTTGCGTTTCAGTTGCATTTTTACCTTTTTTGAAATAATAAAGCATAATATGCTGAAAATGTGTATTTTCTTCCATCTTTAATATTAGAATGGCTACTCAAAATTCTCTAACTTTGATAAGTTTTTTAAATGGCAATATGACAGCTGTCACAATGCAATCTAATAAAATTGTTTCAAATAAAATTAAAGACAACTAAGCACTAGTAGAGCCATGTTACCAAAAAAAGAAAACAACCCCCAAACAAACTTTTTGGCCAACCCAATAGATTGTTGGCCTCTTTTTAAACACCATGGACCAGCCATTAGGCAATTTTGAGAACTCAACATTTGGCCTTGGCCTTGAGCACCAAGCCTGTGGTCCACCAATACAGACAGCGTCACTGAGCTTTGCACTGGCCTTATTCATCTCAGTTTTCCTACCCCTGTCTTTCTCCCAAATTATTTTTTTCGTCACTTTAGATATAAACTAATCTATATCCTTTTTGAGATGAGATATAACAAAACAAGGGAACAATTTTACACCTTGAATTAACTGTTACACAAACCAAGCCAGGACCTTCGGGCTCCTTGCACGCCCAGGGCCCACATGCGCCACAGCCCTGCAGCCAGCACAGCCCTGAAGGACGCCTTTTACACTCAGACCCTGACTGCTTGTATTATTACAACAAACCTCTGGGGATAACAGTAAATTGTAAGTTAATGGTGGCTTTTTCTAATCTGTATTGTATAAAAGTAGTTTATAATAGCATCAAGGCCAAACATCATGTTACCTTAATCCCAATTTTCATAATTTAAACTTTACCATTTTAATTAAGCTTCTTGTATCATAGAATCTCTACAGTTCACGGCTTTCTTCACAACGAACCAGAGCCGGGTTTCTGTGCCTCCTTTCACAATAGTTACACAACTGCGCACCTTCTGTAGGTCACCCACACATACCTCCTTGTGGCACTCCCACCACTTTCATTAAAATGTTAAAGTGGAGAGGTCTCTTACTCTTACCTAAGATCCTCCTGAAAGATGGACCAGAAGGGGTACTTAATACATCTGTGAATTTTACCCCTAGAGAACTCTCTGGTTTCCTGGCCATCATGAAGCCAAATAACATCAGGGGCTCAGATGTTCCAATGAGCACTGCTAGTTACTGTGTGTTCTGTTCCTGGCCCCTCGTAACTTTGAATTATGAAGTGAGCAGAAAATCTGAGTGACTGAGTGAAATTGGCTCCAGGAGCCTGGAGGAGACTGAATGTTTAAGGAAGTTTCTTTGGAATTTGCAGATCCTTTATTACCTCGGACTCACATTAAGAATGTTATTTAGAAGTAAGTTTCAGAGATTCTATTACCATTATGTCCATGTGGAATTTGAGTTAATGTAGCTGTTAACAGTCAGTCTGATCTCTTGAAAGAAACCATAAAGAGACATTTCTAAAATTGAAATTTTAATATAATAGCATGAAACACAAAAGCATCTACAGATACTTATTTTATCTTCATTTTCTCATCTATAAAATGGGGGCAGTCTCTGTACCTCCCAGGTAGGATGACCATGCATCCTAGTTTGCCCGAGTTGGTCCAGAAGAATTATTAACAGTACGTACTTTCATGCTAAAATGTTCCCATCTGAATGGCATACAGCCCTGCAGGGCTGTGTGCCAGCTGACACCAGAACAGACCCGAACACCTGAGTGTCCCCTACATGGCAGACAGTATTCCATACTGTCATCTTCACCACTCCAGTCACTTTTGCAACCACTGCAGGCTCAGAATGTGAAATCGATCTCTGCCTTGATAGGAAGTACAAAAGAAAACTCAGAGACAGATGCCTAGTGCTCCAGGCTCACGCAGGGTTTCATCTCCAGGCCTGTGCTGCACTTCAGACGGCCTGACACAGCAGGCCGCGTGCTCCAGCCTGTTACACTCCAACACCCACCCCGCCACCTCCGCACCAGTTTCTACGCCGTCAGCATGCCTCAGTCGAGAAGCCCAGCAAAACACAACCACACCAAAATACTTAGATACTGACCTTTTGAGGTGTCTTTTCTGGTCCGTACATTAATAAAGAACAGCATCGGTTTACTCAGTATCATTTCCCGGTAGTCTTTATAATCGCAGTAGTTGGTCAGTTCCACATATCTACGAAAAAAGCAGAGACAGGTGCCAATGTATGTACCCCCCTGTCTAAGGAAGGGGATGTCTCGACAGGTGCCTGCCACAACCATAGTCCCTTTGAGAGAAGTCCTCTCAAATATGTCCTGGAGGAGGCAACCACATTTTGTATCCTATAAATAAAGCGCTCTCTCTCTCTGCAGGTCAGCCCGAGACCACCATGTACCCCAAAGCCGGTCCTGGTTATTGGGGTGGCCTGACACCAGTGCCTGGCTCTCAGATGATAACCAGTACCATCTATTTCTGGGGCTGTAAGAGTTCATTTGAAGCCACCAGAGTCCTATGTCTGTCTGGGTTGAGAACAAATCACACTCAGTAAGTGGAATTAGTGGGTTTTCCCCAGTGCAGTCGTCCATATTACCAGTGGGTCTACAATCTTCCTTCTCCCCTCTTCCCTTCTTTAATTCCAAAATAAACCCAGCCCCTCCACGGATGACACATAAACCAATATTCATATGAACTAATTCACATCACCCTGACCTTGAGCTTGTACAAGTAAAGAAAAACTACTAATGGTAGACCTCTGCTAGGGGTCCCATTAATTGAGCTCCCTTGGTTTTCATTCATTATCTGAGCCTGAGAAGATCTTTTCCATTTTGACTCTGTTATCTAGAACAGCAGCTTTCTCTCCACACTCTACAAATTTCCCAAGCTGTCTTTCTAGGCCTCTACCCACATTGTTGATTTAAAAAAAAAAAAAAAAAAAAAAGGCTGATCCAAATGTAAATTAGTTTCCACCAAGAAGATGGCTAATTTTCTAACCAAACCCAAGCTCTCTGCCATGAGGACATAGGCAGTCCAAATGGCACCCAGTCCCGCAGGCTGGAGGACACACTGCCCCAGTCCTTCTTTACCATGGAGCTGGGTCCACAGGTGGCCCAGCTATGGGAACGTGAACCAACGGAATGGCCATCGTGGTGACAGCATGGGCTGCTTTCGCTACACTGCACTGTGTCTGCTTCCGACACCGAGTCAAAGGCAGAGAGAGCTCTGTGTTTCTTTCTGGTTTGTTGTCCTTCAGTGTCTGACATGAAAATCACAGCCCTGGAGAGCTCCTGGCAGCCAGGAGCAGTGGCACCACAGTCCCCCCACTCACCTACGACCCACAAGCCACTTAGACGGGCCAGTGCACAAGACCCTGACCATGACATGGGTCAAGAGCACGTGGGAGAATACCTGCCCCTGAGTCAGAAAAACACAGCTTCCACTTATCTGTCTCCCAACTTGTTTTCTTACAAGCATGTCATTATCTTTTGGAGGGGCTTGTCAGACCTGATTTTGAGAGCTTTTAAACCTAGCCCCTGACGGCGACTCTAAAATGCTTCCTGCCTTCTGATTCACCAGGCTTTTAACACAGTCTCCACCTCTCAGCCCAGGGACACGGGCAGTGGTCAGGTGGCTGCGGGGCACACGAGAGGAAAGGGGGAGTGGGTGGGTGTTGATGTTCAGGGGTGAGAAGGGCAGGAGTAAGGTAGAAGAAAGTGGGAGTGGAGAAGGGGTGAGGGACCTGGGAAGTAATAAGGGGACAGACTGGGTGTGAGATGCAGACCAGGGATTTTGAATGACCCTTTCTCTGTCCATCCCCTGCCCTCACCTTCACAGAACAGTGTGGAAGGAGGACGGGATGAGGCGAGGCACCTGAAGGAGAGACACTTGTATTCCACATCCACAGAGACAGAATGTTCCTGTTCTTCTTTGTCTCAAGTGACCAACTGCCAAAAGGCACTGGAGAAAGGAAGCAAAGGAGAAGGAAAGAGAAAGGGGCCGTCCTTGCTGATTCACTCGCTCTCATTCATTTGACCACACTCTGAGTAGCTAGGACCGCAGGACACCAGGTAGGCACTCACATGGGCCTTGTCGCATCTGAGGAGCTCAGGGCCTAGGGAATGGGCATGGGGAAGAGGGTGGCAGTACAGGGTCACACCAGGGCTCTCTCCTACCCTCTGTCATCCATCTACTCAGCCACCAAGAACCTGGCCGGACAGGCAAGAGCAGCCTTGGAAGAGGAAAGGCAGGTGAGGGCTGTGGTTGAGGGTTGGGAGGGTGTAAGATGCAGAGGGAGAAAGGGGGAAGGAAACTCTTATAGCAGTAGAGGAAAGGCAAACATCTGCCTAAACATCAGAAAGACAGATGCATGATGTCAGGGCAGGAGTCAGGTGCCACCTGTGAGCCACCCGAGGTGGATTTTCACAGTCTCCCCGCTTGTTTATCACAGTTAACTGACAGTCACTTAAGTATGTAATACTTCCCTGAGTGACTCCTCTGCTCTCTCCACATCCACAGTCTGTCATTCTCCAGCATAGCCAGAAAATCTGTAGTTTTGATGACACTATTCTGATGACACAAATGACAATCCTTGCCTCTGCCTATATAATTGATTGACATCCAATTCAAGGTGTCATCGGTAGGAAAAAGATAAAAATTTCAACTTGAGAAATGATCATTGGGTGCAAAAATAACCAGTTTGCTCCAGAATTCTGTGGAAGGCTTTCTGGAATGTTCTGGGGCTCACAGGGCTGGTTTTTGAGGTGCTCAGAAAAGGGGGCTGGCTGATGGGGGCTTCTGATAGCCACACGCTGACTTTAATAGGGCACCTACACCTGAGTCATCCTTTTCTTTTAGGGTCTGAATGTGGTAAGATCCCCTGATTAATAAAACTATGCTCAACATACTTTAATCTTCCTGTGATGTCTTAGAGGCATTTTTAGGATGTTAATGGGCCTGTAAAGGTCATGGCAGAGCATGGCAGTTATCCCTGTAACTCATACATGCAGAAATGCTGCTTATATGAGACCTCTAGTAACAGAACTCACAGGTAAGAGGCAAGATCCCTACCTACTAAACCAGGGCACAAATAAGAACTACCTCCTCCAACCATCTTTTCCCAGTCTCCCAGTTATGGTCCCATTGTTAAACACCTCCTGAATTCCAGTGAAATAAAGAAATATGAGTATTCCTTTGGAACTAGCTCTTATAAAATCTGGACATGTAAGTCACCAAAATAAAAAAAGACTGAGGACCAAGTTATTAAGGAGGAGCCTTACTAGACTGTATTAGGGGGTTGTGCACATTTCTGAATTACTAATGCAAATACCGCTTTTGTGTACTGGGTACTTTATTACATTTGCTGACATTATCATTAGGGAAGAAAAGCAAACAGCTGAAGATGGTTCCTTCAAACTCTCATGTCTTTGTGGCGTTTACCCTGGGCCCACCCAACCCAAATGCTGACTGAAACTATTTTCTTGCCACTTTTTAAGTATATTTTATTGATTATGCTATTACAGTTGTTCCAATTTTTTTCTCCCCCTTATCCCCCCTCCCCCCTGCACCCCACCACCCTGCAGCATGCCCCCCAGTTCATGTCCATGGGTTGTACATATAAGTTCTTTGGTTTCTCTATTTCCTATACTATTCTTAACCTCCCCCTATTTTATGCCTTACCAATTTATGCTTCTTATTCCCTGCACCCCCCCCACATTCTCCCCCTGACTGATAACCCTCCAAGTGATCTCCACTTCTGTGATTCTGTGCTTGTTCTAGTTGTTTGCTTAGTTTTGTTTTGTTTTTTTTTTTTATTTATTTTGTTGTTCAAATACAATGTGTTTTTTTAGGTTCGGTTATTGATAGTTATGAGTTTGTTGTCATTTTATTGCTTATAGTTTTTGATCTTCTATTTCTTGGAAAAGTCCCTTTAACATTTCATATAATAAGGGCTTGGTGATGATGAACTCCTTTAACTTGACCTTGTCTGGGAAGCACTTTACCTGCCCTTCCATTCTAAAGGATAGCTTTGCTAGATAGAGTAATCTTGAACGTAGGTCTTTGCCTTTCAGGACTTGGAATACTTCTTTCCAGACCCTTCTTGCCTACAAGGTCTCTTTGGAAAAATCAGCTGATAGTCTAATGGGAACTCCTTCGTAGGTAACTCTGTCCTTTTTCCTTGCTGCTTTTAAGGATGTTAGAACATTTAAAATTGTCCCAGAGGTTCCTACACCTCTCATTATTTTTTAATTCTTCTTTCTTTATTCTGTTCCAGCTGGATGTTTATTTCTTCCTGTTGTTCCAAATTGTTGATTTAAGCCCCAGTTTCCTTCTGTTCACTGTTGGTTCCCTGTATATTTTTCTCAATTTCACTTTGTTTAGCCTTCCTTTCTTCCTTATTTTGCAACCAAGCTCAACCAATTCTGTGAGCATCCTGATTACCAGTGTTTTGAACTCTGCATCAGATAGGTTGTCTATCTCCTCATCACTTAGCTTTCCTGCATTTTTGATCTGTTCTTTCATTTGGGCCATATTTATTTGATGCTGGGCATGTGTTATGTGTTAAGGGGCGGAGCCTTAAGTATTCACCAGGGCAAGGCAATCCTCTTTGCTGCGCTGTGGCGCTGCCTGTGGGGAGGGGCCAGAGAGGGAACAGTGCAGCTCACCTGCTCTGCTCTAGCCCCACTTTCCAACAAACTCTCCTGGGAAACTAGGATTTTCTTCTGCCTTTGCAACCCCCACAGTGTTTTACCGCTACAGGTTTTGAGTCTTATTTTTCTGGTCAGCCAGCCACTCCTTGTCTACATGGTCCACCACCTTGCTGCGGGTCCTCTCCACCCCTACTACCAATCTGGATGAGTGTTTCCTGGAGTCCTTGGGTGTCAGAGTTCCATGCAGTTTGATATTCTGGCAGTTATGATTGTTTGTTTGTTTGCTTTTTATTGGTTACTATCCTTCTTGTGGTTGTGTGAGGAAGTAAAACATTTCTCCCTACGCCTCCATCTTGGCCAGCCCCCTGGCTGAAACTTCTTACACCTGGCTCCAATCCAAAGTCTGAAAGGCAGAACACTGGATAGACAGCATAGTGATTTGAAATGAAAAGATCTAGTTCATGCCCGTGACTGATTATATGAACTCAGTTTCATAGCCACAGCCCACTGTAACCTTGAGTGAATTACTTCACCTACCTGAACCTGTGCCCTTCTAGAAAGGGATACAGGAATGATGCCTTCTGCTTAACAATTCAGTGTAGTACAAGTACTGTTGACATACATACTTGGGCCCATAGTAGATGCTCAACAAATATGATTAGTATCTGTAATCCTGGCCAACTCTGCTGGCGACAGGGTGAATGAAGTTCTATAAACTTCTGACACCCAACTAGGGCTGGCTTCATCCGTGTTAGCAGGAAAAGAGGACAAACTGAGTACCTGAAGAATAAATGAGCAAGACGTTCTTCCTTGCTCCAATTTCTATCCTCACCTTTTCCATCTGGAAGGCTAAAGAGCACAGCTTCATGAAGGCAGTATCTGAAAGGTGGGGCCAGGAAGGAACACTGAATTTTTGGTTCTAGCGAATCAGGACCACCCATCTTCTAAGACACCTCACTCTTTCTGGAGTCCCTTCAGGGTCACATCATCTAGCATGATCTGAAAGCTGCTCCCAATTTCCCTTGGCTCTGACAACTTACTGCTCAAAGAAGAATGGGAATCCAAACCTATGGCTTCCATCTGGGGGTGTGTGTGTTCATTTAAAAAATATGGAGAGAGGAGAAGAGAAAAAGAGAAACACATGTTGAAACAGTCCTTGTGTAGAAGGCCCAGAAATTGCCTGAAAGTTCATCATCCTTTGCTGTGACACCAGCAAAAGCTTGCAGGGACCTTCTGCTCTGGGGAGCACATAGGATGGCCTTCCTGTGTTTCCAGTGTTAACGTGATAGCTTTATGAGGAGCCTCACCTAAGTTCTTAAACAGTTTTCTTCTTTTGTCCCTATTGTAGTGAAATTAGGCAAAAAAAAAAATTAGACTTATCACTATGTTGTCTGTGCCGCAAATCAAGGATACCCACAGTTGTTCATGCATTTAGTAATTCAGCCATCAATTATTGATGCACAGTACACAGAACAATTCATTCATTCATTCATTCACTCATTCAATAAACATTTGCTAAGCACCAACAATGTGCTAGGCACTAGGGATGTGGATGACAAAGGAAATAGTCTTGCTTTCAAGAAGCATACAGTCCACTGAGGAGACAGGTAAGGAGTTGCGCCATTTCAATGTGAAATGATAGCTAAGACCTTGTTGCTGAAAGTGTGGCCTTTGGACCAGCAGCAATAGCGTCACACGGGAGCTTGTGAAACTGCGGATTCTCAGGCCCCTCTGCAGGTTTATCCCATGGGAACATTCATCCATACCATCCCCAGGAGACTGGTGTGCTTACCTAAAGTTTGGGAAACACTGGTGTAAGACCTGGTCCCTCCCACTCAGAGGCTTACAAACTAGTTCATTGTTCAAACACCCAAATGGTGGAGGAATGCACAGTTCTCTGCATTCAGTGTCCACTCTCCATGGGTTTATGTCCCGGTTATTTAAATAAGAAAGAGCAAAGCAGGAGGGCCCTAGAATTAGAACCATTTACTGAGCTGAGACAAGCACTGGAAGAGTGATCCTTCTGTCAGGCCCAACATTCTGCCGCTGGCTGGGCAACGCAGAGGAGAGGAGGAGTCACAGCTTAGCCAGGCCGTGGGGGAAATGGGCTGGCTGCACCCAGGCCTCCGGGCTGGCATGTGGCAAGGATCAGGCGAGCTGCAAGCAAAAGTAGACCAGAGTGTGTCTGGAAGTTCAGAGCAAGGCTCCCAAGAAAGGCAGGCAGGAGAGAAGGCAGCGAAGCCTCACAGCTTTTCAATCATCGGATCTGGATTTGGTTTCTATCTCTGTGACTTTTGATGGTGTCAAGATCTATTTTCTCACCTGTAAAATCTAGCTGACAAAAGATACCCTGTAGAGTAGCTACAAGATTACATAATATGTGTGAAGCACTTGGCTTTGGGGGCTGCTTAATAATAATAATAATAATAATAATATAAAAGCTAACATTTGTGAAGTAAGCAATATATAAGCAATAATTATTTTAAGGACTTTATGAAATTTCATTCTGAACAGCAACCCTATGAGGGTGATGAATTATCATTCCCATTTTACAGCTGAGGAAACTGAGGCACAGAGACAAAGTAACTTTCCCAAGTCACTGAGCCAATAAACACAGAACTCAGATCCCAACCAAGGCCTCTGGTCCTGGCCCTCCTGCCCATCCACACTTACTCCAGACTGACTCTTATAAAAGTCACAGCTCAACAGAATGACAATTACCTCTCAGGAGCACTCGGTGTTCTGTGACTAGTATGCAGAACTGGGCAGGTCATCAAACCTGAGACTCAGACATGGGGACCAAGGCCAAGGACTGGTCAAGAAGGCAGAACAGGAGCCCACTGAGTGCAGCAGCAGCAACAGTGACTGCTGCCCACTGCATGTGGAGCTGTCACTGCTTCCACACCTCCTGGCCTCAGTCAAGGTCGATGCTGAGAGGTGGGCCTGGGCTGGCAGATGGAGTCCAAGCACCTCCCATCATGGGGTGGGGGTGATGCTTCCCCAGCACAAATCCATGGTCCAGCCCCACCTCTATGAGTCTCCTCCTCCAACTCCCTGCACTCTCTGCCCCTGGCAGCTGCCCTCCAGGTGAGTGTGACTGTCACCCATCCAACAGCCAGTCGGACACAGGCAGGAGCAGGTCACCTCTCTGCTTTGTGTGGCTTCTTTACAAAAAGCAAAAGTGACTTTTGCCTTTAGGTTGATTATACAAGATGAGTAATGGCTGATTTAATTTCAGTTATTTTTTTGTAGATTCAGGAAGCTCATGCCAATGCTGCTGCTGTCTACAGTAAGGCAGAATGATCGCAGATTCAAAGTGGTTTGCTGAACATGCACGTTCGTAGTTAGATGAGGCTGCATAGGTGCCTCGGCTCCATGCTCCCCAGCATCCTACTTAGGTTCAGTACCTGACCTCTCCCGATCCTAATTTCTCATCTGCAAAAAGGGGACACAGTAGTGCCAACTTCATAAGCTTTTGTGAAATAATAGCTGTAAAACACTCTGGTACTCAAAGCAAACATTAGTGGCCACTGCTGTTATTGTTGGGCTTATTTTTAGTACCCAAAGCAGCCTCTTTCATGCTAGGAGAACACTGAAAAGCAGGGATTATAGCTCCTCTTTGCCCAGCATTTGCCATTACACCTCAGTCAGAGGCTACATTACAGAAAAAAAGGTGTGTGTGTGACAGTTAATGGCAAGTTACACCTGACATCCTAAGCAGGTTTCGTCTGCAACACGAATGGAAATCCAGAGCTTGAAAGAAAAGTAATAATAAAGGTTTTGCCATCAATCCCACAAAGCAGGACAAATATTTTTAAAGCAAGCTCTCAGGAGCGTTAAAGCAGTGGGGGCCAACCAGAAAGGTTCCCAGCACCCTAGGTTTCCGTAGGTTTGTATGTAGAAAAATGTTCGAGTATCAGAAAACAAACCAGAGTAAGTTGAGCGAGTGAACCATAGGAATGTCAGTAGCTCTTAACCTTTTAGGTTCCTTGGGAAAGGACCTCATAAAAACCACAGTGCATGCTTCTGAGTTCCCTGAAAAGAAGTCCTGCTAACCCTGAGGACTTATCCCACACCAAAAATATTTGTGCAATGCAGAAAAAGTAATTAGCAAAGTGGTGATTCTTAACCTGGTTCCAACTATGTCATAAACCACTCGAATGCTCAGCAACATTGGGTGTATCTCCAAGTTTCTGGGGAGAAGGTCTACATACTATTCCCCCAAATTCTATAGTCCAAAGTGATTAAGAATCATCGCTTTGCCTTCTTGATCAGCCAACCACCCCACCACCCCCCTGGCCACCTTCTCAGCTGCTCTTGGATGGGGGCCATCATACCTCAGGCAGGAATGTGGTGGCTTCAAAGATGAAAAAGTCACTGGAGTCCATTGCTCTAGGCCCCAACTCATTATGAAAAGTGGAAAGTACATGCAGGGGTACAGCCAACTCCAAAGATGACAAGGCAAACAGAAACTGGTACCCTTGCCAACAACTGCCTGACCTTGGGGAAATCCATACTAGAGTACTGCACCATGTTGGCCAAAACTGGTGTCCAGCACTGCCCTGGAAATAACACTGACCTGGGCATAACCTGCTAGAAACACTACAGTATGCACACTGGATGGCACTGACCCAGGTGCTCATATGATCTTTAACGGTCTGTCAGAACAGACAGGTAAAAAGCAAGTCATGCAAAATATTTTTGTAGTAAAACTGGTCAAAGCTTACTGAAAAAAGGAGGAAAGGAGGGAGGGAGGGAGGGAGGGAGGGAGGGAGGAATGGAGACTTTGGAGCAAGTGATTTGAGAGAAGAAGTTGTATGCTAGCCCCAAGGCCAAAAACAGCTGGGTAAATTTGGCAGAGCTGAGGAGCTGCAACATTGGAAGACTGAATTCTGACTATGCATATGCCCCATGTACCTGATCCACGAAAGCAAAACTCTCACTGCTGCCCATAACTCGGTGTCCCCCTCTTTCTGGCAGGCTCTCTCCATTCACAGCAGGTTCCTGCTCAGTCATCTTTCAGGACTGCACACCCAGTTACAAAAGCCCCTGCCGTAGGATGTTCCTAAGAAGACAGATGGTTCCTTCCATCACCCAAATTATTCTCAGGTGCTCCTTGTTCTTTCCTAAGGTATAAACATCATCACACAATTGCTTAGACAAGAATCTTGTTCTTGTTGGTTGTTTGCACCCTGGTCTGTGTGGCCTGGCCATTATTTATTCTGGATTCTAAACTGCCAGAGTTCCACTGCTATTTAATTTTCTTTTATGTAGGGGGTGTTCAAAGCAAGGGATTAATAACCAGGCTTCAACATCATTTAAAATTTTGCAGCACTGTTTGCTAAGACTCGGGGAGATGGCTCTGTCAAAAGCCTAACCTGTATATTAATTCTGGGCATTTTTATTTCTCATACTGTTCTCAAATGCACTAGTTAAATCTTCCCAAATCTGATTTCTAATTCAGTTTCTCCCAGGTCCCTGCTTATGGGTTGGAATTTTCAATTCACTAAGAAAGGGAGAAATTCTTGTCCGGGAATGGTTTTTCAGACATTCAAAGCCCTCATTCTCTTTGTGTAGAAAAGCTGTCCGAAGAAGGCATTTTAAATGCCATTTTGTTTGCTTGCCCCTCTTGGCTCCATCCCACCCACAGGGTGGCACAGTGCCCCTGTCTTTCCCAGGAGCAACGGGCTTTGTAATAGCTGGCAGGCTTACTCATCTCTGAATCATGCTCCATACCGCACTCGCCTGTTCCTGGCAGTCAGTTCTCTGCACAAACATAAGATACCAGCACACTCCCACACAGCACTTACTTTTGCCCACACGAAGGCCCACAGGACCCTGGGTTGGACTTCATGGGGCTTTGTTCCCCTCTCAGCTGTGTTTTATTTATTCATTTATTTGAAACACTACGGGAGGCCAAAGATGGAACACTTTGTACTACCTGTCACACGCTTCTCCACTGGGTCTCCTCCCTGGATAAGGCTCGAATTACACAAAACTGAGCGTTCTCACCCCTCACCCCCACCCCCATCTAAAGCCAGGATGTGAGTCCTCTGTAAACATCCCCGAGGGGTGTGTCCCCAGTTTGAGCTCATTTAACCCAGTTAAGGAGCCAGAAAGGGAAAATCACCCGCCAGTGACGTGCTCCGCGTTCCTTCCCACCCTACGCTCCTCTCCAACTCCCCCCCCCGCCCCAATCCGGTGCCCCTCCGGCCGACTTCTAGTGTGGCTGCAAATGTCAAGGGGAAGGGCGGAAAAGCCCGAGGGAGAGCTTTGGGCGTGGTGACGTCAGCAAGGAGAACGATCCAGGCGTGAGGCACCGAGGAGGGGAGGGCGGCGGGGGCCCCCGGGGACCCGGTGGCCAGGGGTGGGGATTGGGGGCGAGGGGCGCACTCACCTCTTGATGTAGCGGCTGAGGCGGCAGAGCTGCCCGTCCAGGCTCACGAGGCCGTCGCCGAAGACGTTGAAGCCCCCGAGCGCGGCCGCAGGCTCTTCGGGCCCGAGCACCGTGAGCTGGTCGCCGCGCAGCTGGAGGGCGCTGGGCAGCAGCCGCAGGAGCTGGGCCACCGGCAGCAGGGCCATCTCGCAGTCGCACGTCCACAGGCTGCGCAGCTCCCCGGACGAGATGGAGGTCAGGCTGGGCCTGGCCGGGGGTGCGCACGCCGCCGCCGCCATCCCGCGCGGAGGTCCGGGGTCTTCCTGCCCCTGTGCCGCCCGCTCACCCGCGCGGAGCGCTGCAGCCGGGACTGGAGACCGCCGCCGGACGCCGAGCCGCCCTTTTATCGCGCTCAGTGGCGCCCCGCCCGGCCGGGGGCACGACCCCAGGCCTCGGGGCCGAATGAGCACTACGAGAGCCGGGCGCGCTCCCGCCCCTCTGCGCGGCCCGCAGCCAACCCTTACTCACCCCATCCCGGGTCCCCAACTCTTCACCCCGGGCTGGGCGGACACCCACGGCGGGGTGGGGACTGGGGCCTTGGTGTCCACTCCAGCCCTTGGTGGGAGGGGAAGGGCGCCAGCATCCACCCTGGGCGGAGACCCTGCACCTGTGCATGCGGGGGTGGGGGCGGGCGTCCGTCGGCCTCTCACCGCGCCTGGGACGCAGGGCCTTGGGAAGACAGCCGGACCTCTGGTCCCCACTGTACGGCGCGTCGCAGGTTGCAGCCTGACGCCAGCCTTTGTCTCAGAGCCTGTTTCCTGCTCTTTTCGTTCCAGATCATACCCTACGTTTTCCCTCCATTCAGCCTTTCCTCACACTAGTTCCTTCCCCGCATTCCCTTCCTCGTACAGATTCCAGGGTGCTCACGTCACTTTTCCATGAAGCCTCTGTGAATCCCCTGTGGCTTTTATCCCATTGCTTCTACTCGCTTCTCGTGCAGGGGACCACAGGCCTCAGGGTGTCTGCCCAATAGTGGGGGTGGAGGGGACCAGCAGAGCTCCCTCCTGCGTGCCTCTACAAGTCCCCACAAGTTCATTTTCACAGTCAGTATATAGCAGCGCTTTTCAACCGGTGCGCTGCAAGAATTTTAAAACATTCAACACCTGACCATTTAGTCTGAGGGCACTTACCCTTTTCCCTTAGATTGTCAAAAAAAAAAAAAGACGACAGCCAACACAGCAATAGCTGTCCAATATGAATGAATCAAAATTATACCTACTTTTTATCAGGTCAGCAAAAAAAAATATTTTTTGGGTGTGCTGCAGAATTTCAGTAGTTAATCTGTGCCATGAGATGAAAAAGGCTAAAGATTGCTGATCTATAAATACTTGAGTGCTCATTCTGCAGACACACTGAATGGCTTAGTCTCCTGGGGTAGAAAATGGGACAATTTAATTTAATTTAATTGAACAACCATTTCCGAAACATCTACTAGGAGCCAAATAATCGACCGAGTTCTGAGAAGACTGGAAGAAATAAACAGAAGCCCTGCGCTTGCCCAATTTACAGTCTAATGCGGGGGCGGTGGGGGCAGCGACCAGCTTTCCCGCTGCAACACCTGAATGAAAAGCGTTGTTGGGAGGTCCCTGGATTTATGGGAGGAGAATTCAGCCCAGTTCTGAGGAGCTGAGCAACAGACTTCCTGAAGTCCTATAATTTAGAAATCTAAGTTAAAAGCTTAGAAAATACCTTTCGTTTGTCTTTTTATGTGCTCAGCATGGACCAATCGGCAGATTTAAGTCCAGTGAAGAGTCCTGGTATATCTCACTTAAACCCAGAATATAAATAACCACCATTCCCAAGTCCTTCCCACAGACACGGTTCCCTCAGCCTCAGTCCCAGCGGTTGAGCTTCTCTGAACAAATCTAAATCACCCAGCATGCACTGATCACAACTGAATCGACCTTTTACAGAGAGGCAGGGCAAATTGGTCTGTGATACCAGCACCCAAGGGGATTCTTTGGCAAAGTGAAGCCTGCCGACTGCCCAGAGGATGGGTGTGCAGTGGGCTGAGATGGAGTGCAGGACCCAGAGACTGCAGCTGCTACCACTGGATGGGGGACTGCAGTGCCTTAGACCTCAATGGCCCTGCACAGCCTTCTGTTTGCAGATCAAATATGGACCTGCCACTGCAGTGCATCAGGCCCCATATTAAACTCTGAAAGTACCGACAACAGCAAAACAAATAACCTGGGTCAAGGTGAATACTATAATAGATGTACAGACTAAGTACTTTGAAAACAAGGTCCAAAGAGTGGTTGCTCCTACCTGGGAGGCCCCAGGAAGGCTTCTCAGAGAATGCGACAAATGGGCTGGACTCTTAATACAGGGAAAGAGCTCTCAGGTAAAGGAGCTCCATCAATAAGAAACTGAGGAGAAGATTCCAGACCAGTCTGTTATGTAATAAGAGAAGGTATGGCCCTACTTGAGGCATGGGGACTTTTATATGGCTAAAGCAGACCAGGCCTGTTTGGGGCAAGAGGTGAGTTTTATAACAGATGAGACCCAGAAAGGGAAGTTGGAGCCAGACTGTGAGAGGCCTTCTGAGCTATCTAAGAACTTGGATTCTAAGGCAATAGGGAATTTTTTACTGATTTCGGGGAAGGAAGTAGTATAACTATACCTGAGTTCAGATACTGTTGGTTATGGCCACAGAGATGATGTTTTGAGGTAGGAAAACTAGATGCAGAGAGACCAGTTAGGAGATGGGGTTCATATCCAAGTAAGATACAATGAGGGTCTGAACTGGTTTACACAGCAGCTGTGGTAAAGGAGATGACAGGATAGATTTGAAATACACTTGAACTAGAGTCAGCAGGATTTGCTGAGCAAATAAATGGCAGAGGAAAGAGTGAGACAAACTAGTAGGAAGAAACAGCCTTTTGCTAGACAGACAATGTAGCTACTAATGGAACATCCAAGTGGAAAAGTCTGTGAGGCAGCTAGTTAGCTGGGTCTGCAGTATGGGAGGGAAGATAGGGTTCATGATTAAAATTGGAAAATCATTAGCTTGAAAACAGGGGTTGAAGCTAGAGAAGTAATAGGGTAGAAATTTGAACCCCAGGCATTAGTTTGTTTCCACAAATGTTTATCGAGTACACGCTATGTTCCAGGACTGGTGGTTTGCTAGAGATTCAGAGGTTACAAACAGAAGATGGCCCTGTGCTTCTGCAATGAGGAGGAATGCAGGGAGCAGCACGGCTCATCTTCTGGTACAGTGTCTAGGCTTGGTGCTGAAGTGTACTCACATTTTGAGTATAGCATTTCTCAGATCTACTGATGGGATACACTCTCCACAATAGCTACAAAGTTGCCTTCTCAACTTTAAGGTCAATGAGGGCAGGTCTTCAGCATCGCCCTGCCTCACACCACATAGATGGAGCTCAATACTGTTGAGCGCCCTTAAACCTGCACTGTCTGTGGGTGATTCGGCTTTGTTGAGGGGTGAAATGTAGCATCAGTTTTATGTCAGAGTTAAATGCACTTGGTTAGTGTAAACATAGCAGTGTCTCCTATCAAAATCTGTTCCTGTTACTGCAAATATCAACATTTATTACCTGAATAGAAGAATTAAGTGATATTTTTCTTTGCTTCTCCATAGTTGTCTGACTTTACCATTTTCCTGCATTTTCCAAATGAGTGTATGATTTGTACAATGAAATGATGTTGAGCACAATAAAAACATTCCGAAGATGCTTGCCTGATGGGTTATGTAGAGGTTTCACTTGATGCATTTTCAGGAAAACCCCTGCATCTCTTTCTGGATAATTTGCACTCCGCCAAAATTCCAGAGAACAATATGAAAAGTGACCAGAAAAACAAATGACTGGTTGTCATCACCATTGCTAATCAGTGAAGAGCTGTAGCCATCGTTCTATTTTTAATATCTTTTCATTATCAAAGTAATAGCCAAGCAAATAAAAGTCACTGCTTGTAAAGATATATTAGTCTCTTTCTTTATTGTTGGCTTATTCACACAGTTGTGTCGACATTGTAGAGTTTTTATCCTACACTTGACACTGTATGGATAGCATGTTACAAAAATTATCTAAGTTATATTTTAAGCTGCCATAATGTCTTCCATCAAGTGGTAGTACTGGGCATCTCTTTACATGTGAGCACACGGATGCATTTTTCCTTATTCTAAACAATGCTGTAGTGAATGTCTTCACACTTTTATTTTTTCTGCATCCAAACTCTAAGAAATGACATTATTGAGACAAGTAATGTGACAATGTTTGAGGATCTTAAAACATATAGTATTATCTTCCAAAAGAATTATACCAAACAGTTTTCTCACCAGCAGTGAGTTTTCTTGGCTTTAAACCTCTGGTGTTAGGGGCATTGCACCTCCTTGCTATTTACAAACAAGTAGGTATGATGTTACCATGCAGGCTTGGAGTCCATCTATCCCAGAGCCCATGAGTGAGTCTGCAGCTATGTTTGCAGTTGAGGAAGAAAAGGTGATGCTCTTACCATCCTCATGTGCCCCCACTGGGGTGACAGTGCTTCCGTGCCATCACCAGTTGCTGGCTCCATCCTGAAGGTCCACAGTCAGACTCAGAGACCCGATTCATATGAACCAAACCCACAGCAAACTGAAAACAAACTGTCCACCACCACTATCCTCATTCTTAGATTGCCTGTCATTGTATAAATATCTGCAGGCTTCTCCCTCTTAAACATAAAATATTTTTAAACATTTTTACAGCCCACTTCCAAGGTTCCTACAAACCTCAAGAGTTCCTTGCTTTCTTCCCACCTCCATTGATGATGTTCCCTCATCCTTCCATCACTTTTCTCCTGGACTATTCCAGTAGCCATCATACCGGCCCCAACCCCCTCAATCCCTTTTCCTCCTGGCTTGTGGATGAATTGCCTCCCCCTCAAATTTGTGTGTTGAAACCTTAGCCACCCCCCAGTACCTCAGAATGTGACTGAATTTGGAGACAGCCTTTAAGATGATTAAGTTAAAATGAGGCCAGTTATATGAGTCCTTAATCCAATCTGACTGGTGTTCCTAAAAGTAGAGAAAGAGGGACCAGACATGTTTGCACAGAAGGGTGACCATGTGGAGACACAGTAAAAAGGCAGCCATTGATAAGCCAGAGAAAGGCCTCAGGAGAAACGTAAAATGCCATCATCTTGATCTTGGACTTGCAGCCTCCGGCTGTGAGAAATAAATGTCTGTGGCACTTTTCATGGTGGACAGAGCAGACCGAGGGCTTTGCTCTGGGCTGCGGGTGGACTAGGTTTGTAGCTCCCTGAAGGTGCAGGCTGACCCTTGCTCAGTGCTGTGCGGATGCTCTTCTTGCTATACTGGCCTCCTCACTGTCCAAGATCCTCACTCCCCAAGACACAATTTAAACATTATCTCCTTAGGGCTGAGTGACAAGCCTTCCTGCTGGTC